GAGGTGAAACGTCTTCAAGTAACTTAAAGAAGTCCAGACGCTTTTCTTTGCAAGCTCCTTTGACTACGATGACCTGGATGACTGAGAACCTTCACAGACACAATGTTAAAACCACCTACATAAGTGTGTGTAGGTTTTTCTTCATGCTGCCAAAACAGCTAGCTGCTGGGGTATGGACGTGGCACCTCTGGTGGTGTTCTGAGCCTGCACCAGTACTTGGCAGTGGAGTCTTTATGTCCTTTGGGTTGCAGGATAGAGCCTCCATTCATCAGACAGCACATCTGTGCATGCTTGATCAGACTGGGAGCCTTTTTGTCATGTTCTTCTGTAGTATTGTCCTGCTAAGGGAGGCTGCCGCCCTCAGGGAGTGTCAAATTTTGACAGTTCCTATCTGAGTAAGATTCATAATAAGGCCAATGACCCAAGCAAAGGCAATATAAATGACGATTGTAGCTTCTGTATGTGAAATGGGAAGCCAATGCAGTCTTCTTCTCACCAGCAGGGGTGATACCTTTGCTTGTAAAAAGCTCCTGGAAAGCCCCTCAACTTTCAAACAGGAAAATAACAAGTTCTTCATAGTAGGACCTCAAAAACTAATAGTTCACAGCAGCTATATCCATCTTTTATACAGTCTGTGGGCCTTAGATAGAAGATACATGGTAGCGTAATAAAATGATTAACGTTATTAGCTAAAGAAGCAATAGGCCAGTCCTGTACTGAGCTTCATGCAGAAGCTTTGCTGTAGAGAAGACATAGTAGACATAGTATCAGCAAGACGTACTTATAGAATAGATTTGCCCTGAAGTCCAACAAAATTTGTCACGTTGACCAAAATTTTCTTATGGATCTACACAGTTGTCCTGAATGTCCACACGAGTCATTGATGCAACTTGGTAGCTGATATTTCGACCTGTTGTATACAGTAGTTCACAACAGGTCTCCTAACTATCTGGCACATGATTGGTTGTATCGTCACCTTTGGATGGGATGAAACTCTTTCCAAGGTTGTGACTGATTGGAATCAGGGTGCGCCCACGGGCCGACAGCCACTGTCGCAAATGCTTGCAATCAATCACTGGCATCAAAAAATTCAATGCAGTTCCTGAACAACTACTAGTTTTTCCTAGTTGAACATAGGTTGCCATCCCGTTTTTATGTTTTAGCCATTAGTGGCATTAAGGCTCCTAAAAGTCTTTAATTTCTCTTTTAGTTATAGTATGACATGCCAAGTGGAAACTGAGTCTGCGTTTGGCATCTTCTAATTGCCGTGTCTCTGTTCACATTTACATGTCTGTGCTTGTGTGTGTATTGCCTCTGTATTATTTGAACTTCTGCGCGTTGTTTGTCCTTGACTGATCACTGATGCAGATTTGCTCCGCTCAATGAGGACTGATAATAAAGACTCCATCCTTTTCTATTAATGATTGTAACTTGAAGTTCGGAATGAGCATGTCTTCTAATTGGCCGTTGGACAGCTTAATTCAGCAAATCGGCGACACAATGCACTATTCCAACAAATTACTGCTTCGGCATATCAGACGGTTTTACGGCTGACAGTTGTGTTGTGACAAAATGCTTCACTGCTGTTGTCATCATCCCTTTATTTTTTTTCCCATGAAGCCGAATTATCTGAGAGCTGTTGCACGGTATATCCCGCCCCCTCATTCAGATTTCTCAGGATTAGTCATCGTCCTTTTCACACTCTCAGCAGGTTTCTACAAACAAATGCCAAACCATTTAGTGTCTTCCAGATGGAAGTATCATTAGCACTCGATGAGAAATCAAAATAGCATGTGACGTAAGTGCTTTCTTGTCAGCCAGCGCCTGCACATTGAGGACTTACTGACTGATTTTTGAAGGCGAGAAAGAGAATGCAAACATAGATGTTAAAGTGCTTCAGGGCATCTCAATGATAATCTATGATCACAATTTGTCAAACAAGCTACAGCTATACATAGAGCCTCTCTTTTTTTCACTCTCTCCCTTTTCCATTAGTACTTCTCAGTCTATTTCCCCAGCTCATTGAACTCCCACCGTGATTTTACTGCAAGATGGCTGCACATTTCCTGCACACCGACTGACGCAATATTCCTTCAGCGAGCTGCTAAAGAGCTCTCTTAACTTAATGCCTTTCTCTCTGTTTGGGCTCATTTCAATTAGAGAATGGCAGATTCCCACGAGATAGCTTTATGTCTCTCACGAGGCGGAGGATAGACTGGAGTGTTTCCTGCATTGCAGCAGCCTCGACAGTTTCATTGCCTTGCTTAAGGGCAGAGATACTGATACTGTAGATCTAGTGGCAGACAGTTGACAGATGCCCGTTCCCTCACAGCTGCACCTTCCTGTTGCCATCAGGGACAGAACAAACAGTGTCTCTGCTGCTCTGTCAGTTTCCCTCCCTGTCAGCTAATCACGTCAAATCAGTTTTTTCTTTTTTATGTTTCTAACTCGCTTCAGATTCACATCTGTCATTCCTCTGCATTAGCTCTCTCAGTTTTATGAGACAGGTGAAAATGAGACAGCATTTTCTTGCGTTCTCTGTTTTGTAACCCTGCTGACTGCTTATCTACCCTACTAATCCTTCCTCTTACAGGCACTGAAGTTGCTTAAAGGGGACAAAACATTTAATTTTGGAGGAGGTTCATGAGTAGATGACCTCCGCTGGCTGTCTGGACTCCTACAGGATTTTGGTTCTATTGATTTTTACTGCAAATTGAATTCTGAGGTTATTTGGTTTTTCTTGTGTGTTTGAGCCAGTAACAGCAGTTTAAAGGGGGAAAGTGCTTTATTGGCTAATTTTCAAAACAGTTTGGGCAGAAAATGGGAACAATAACTTTTAAAGAGTTTGAAAGTGTACAATATGAGGGAAATGGAGATCTTGTTGTGAGGAAATTAGATTTGAACCATTGGAGCTCAGGATGCATTACCATGACTGAAGGGGAAGACAATATTTTGGATTTCACTAAAGAAACTGACTAAAGTTATTTGGATTTTAAGCAGCATGTTAGATTTTCTTTTACTCTGCAGGTAGCCTGAAACATTTTTCAAATAATCTCACTGAGTGCAGAATCTGATTTTTTTTCTACATGAGAAACACTCATGTTTTTATTTTTTGTTTTTTATTAAAAAGTAAAGCCTTTAGCCTCCAACATTCAATTTGTATGAAAATGGGTAACCATTATTTAGCCATGTATTCAAGCCTTCCATTAAACAGAGGCAACCAATCAGAATAAAGTTGGCCTAAAACAATGGATGAACTGAAGAGCTACACCCAGTCACAGCTCGGATTGACAAATAAGGATTATTTTGAGCTGGGATTCATACAAAGTTCATCATGTAATGAACAGGTCAACTTTACACTACCTGCCTAGTAACATGTTGTGAGGTTGCTCGACCAAACAGAGTAAAAACAAGTTTATGAGACTTTTATTTCACACCTCCAAATGAATACATATCTATTTCACTTTAACTCCTGGACGTGTAAATGTAAAAGCTAACAGTCATTTATGAAGGATGCGCAAGTATAGTGTCTGAACATATTGGCATTGTTGACTGATATAAGCTTATTGCCAAATGATGTGACATCTACTCACAGTTGCATTTATCGATTTCATTACATCAGCTTATACCGACTAACTGTTCAAAGGTAGTGTGATGTAATTTGAACATGTCCAGCATTTTGACTGGTACTTCATGTAATATAATATACTATTTTTTTCAGCCCATAATTCCACAGTAGATACAGCCCTACCGTTCATAAAGGTGATTATGAGAACCAGTAACAAGTGGTTAATAAATGGATAAGTAAATAAATATGCCGGCTCCATATTTATATTTACAGTACTAAAAAAGAGTATTTGCCCCTTTTCTGATTTCTTTGTTTTTTTCCATGTTTTTTTAAATTTTTAAATAGCTTTTTTATTATTTAGTTTGAACATGAAGCTAAATAATAGAACACCAGTTCTTGAAATCGCTTTCTTTCCAGCTGTCAGAACAATTTTGATCAAATACTGATCTTTCATCTGCAGATATCCATCCAAATAACCAAGGTCTAACACCTATATGGCATGTTTTAATGCTAAACAAACATAACCCAACTAAAAATAAGTGATAATTCTGCCAAAATTACTCCAAAAGAACATGGACGACTCATCCAGGAGGTCACAAATGAACCCAGAACAACATCTAAAGAAGTTCATGATTCAAAGATAAGAAAGAGAGTGGGTAAAAAGGCTTTTTTAAGTGACAAATATGTAAAAAACTAAGAAATCAAAAGGTAAAAGTACTTTCGACAGTACTTTCTAAAAGGTTATATATATCTTCCTGGGGAAATCAGACCCTTTCAACCATTCTCGACTTCAGTATATCAAACTGTGCATCACTATTTGATGACATAGCGGTTTTCCCTTTCTGCTTCTTCTTGCAGCCAGCATCAAAGCAGCTCTACGAAGATGAAACCACCTCCTCTGTGTTTGGTCTGAGGTCTGTTACCGACCTATCTCCATCCCCGTCTCCATCCCCCTGCAGCTCAGACCGGCCCCCTCTAGGCTGGAGCAGTAACAACAGTAGCAGCAGTACTGCCACGTCGGCCACAACTGGACCGCCAGTCGCCGAAAAACCTCGCTGGCACCTGGGAAGACGCACACCGGCGCACTACTTACCACTCGACGTCACAGGTACAAAGACGAAATGCCCAAAATAGTCTAAGATCAGGTGCGGTAACAATTGCTAATGCTGTCAGTATATTTGATGCAGTCTTAAATGACCAAATGAATTTACAAATTAAGAATTTTGTGGAAACTGCAATGTGAAGGTGCACGTATAAGGCAATGGGAGTATTTCTGAAGTCTATTTCTTGCTGTGTTTCTAAACAACACTGTGGTGAACTGACAGGAAAGGTGAGTGTATGCAACTGATTGAAAGTCATTACTCTGACACATGCATCTGAGTCAGCTGAGCCTCCAGGATGTTTTCATGGCGACAGCATTACAGAGGTAGTGCCGCATGAAAATTGCGGACAAAGTCAGCATAGAAAGTGTAATACTTCCTTGATCTTTCTTAGAAGTTTTTTGGACTGGCACAGCTACAGTTCCTCTGAGGGAACACATGAATGTTTCATTGGCTGGACCAGAGTGATCCCGAGCCATCAAAGTAAAAAGAGTTTGCTGTGTTTTAATGGGTACGTGTAAACACAGAGACGATTGGCATCCAGCCTGTGAATTAGTGGTAATGTTTCCAGTCCAGCTGTGAGATGGTCAACAGCTCAAGTTGTGCTCATTTTAAAGAAGTGCTCAAGTGATTCGTGATTCGTAATCAGCAGAGTTTGGGTCATTCATTAAAAAAAAAAAAAGGCAAACATACTTTGGTTTCATCTTCTCAAATGTGAGCATTGAGCATCTTTGGGGTTCTGGTTGTCATTTAGCCAACTCGAAAACTCAACTTTGAGCCATAGATTGAAGATAGACACCCCTAAGCATACCTGTTAGTCAAATACTCATATAATAATGGAAAATGCCATTAGTTGGAGCCTTGTTGAAGATGTCAGATGCTTATTGAGTAGAGGGGTTAGACTGAGGTTAATTATCTGGGCTGATGAGAGATGTGCCAAGATGCTTGTTGATTGGTGCAGCCAGGTGCCTTTGAGCCTTTTTTCGCATTTATTAGAATTTATGGCTTCAATATGAGATTTCACTGAAAAATAATTCAAAATTAAATTGATTAAGCCTGAATATGAGATTCTATTGGAAATGAATCATCATTTGGCAGCTTTCAGATGGCTCCTGTCATGTTGAGAATAGAAATGATTTTATCTCCAAATAAAGATGGTTTCTGTGAGCAGCAAAACAACAACACTGTTGGTTTTAGAGTCCTGGCTTTGTGAGGGCCTTCACTGTCACCTGTGCTGTTCTCGAAGGAGTTGTGTGACAGCTGTCATGGCAAATCAGACTCAAGGAAAGCTACAACATGTGGTAAATCTGAATTTCCATCCCTTTGGAGGTCACATCAGTCCAATTTGGCTTTAGCTTCTTTGTGGTTGTGTATTAAATGCGTGCTGGAAAAGCAACACAATCTTGTCTTTCTCCAAAGAAGAACTGTATGCTCCAGGCTGAAAAACAGTGCTAATATTAATCCTGCTCAACAAATTTGGCAGATACCTCTTCCACATGGTGCATGGTCGTCTTTGACAGTCCTCATAGTGTCTTGTTTATCCCTTTTCAGCTGCTACCTCTACGAATTGCCACAGTGGATCATATTCCTCCATCTCACCCTACCCCTCCTCTCTGGTCATCTGTATTTTTCCAAATGGCTACTCCATACTCAACATGCTTTGTCCAGGATACCCTCTATCTCTCCTTTGCACATGTCCAAACCATCTAAAGTCTATGACAGCATTCATAATTCAATTAGTTTTGACAACCTCTCCAACACGACTGGCTGAAATGCAACCATGATGTTTTATACATGGCTGCAGACTCTCGCTGTTGCACCTCTCTCCTGACCTGCTCCATGCATATAGATGAGAATTGGAAGTAAAAGTTTTAAATATGGATTGCATCACTCCATAAGATTTGTTGTCAATGAAATTACACAAGTCCAGTTCTTATGTAATTTTCATACCTCAGTCTTTTCTCCATGTTTCCCTTCCTTAAAAATGGTTTCTTGACAGCCACCCTTCAACTGAGACCATTTCTGATGAGGGTCCAGTGAACAGTAGACGGATCAGCTGAAAGACCAGATAAATTTCCCAGCTCCTGTGGCAGGTCTTTACTGGATCTTTTTCCCATTTCTTAAGGACAAAACTTCCAGATACTGTTTATCTGCTATAGATCATTTTAGTCCTGGAAAACTATTGCTCAGGACCACTTTAAAAAAAAAAATTACAAGTGTGGCAGTGGACCCCCAAATACAGACCAGTCATGTGCTACATTCCAAAAGAGTCCAACAGGTGATAATGACAACCCTGGGAGTCCAGGGAAAAGCAGGAAAACAAACTGATGGGAAACAGAATTAAATAACGCACCAACAAAGAAAAAGGGAAAACTGAAGCTACACAAGTACGTGATCACACCTGAGGGGAACAACACAGGTGCAGACAATCAAGGGAACAAGACGAGGGGAAGTAAAATTGAACATCAGGCACAGACGACAAATAATGGCCAAAATAAGACCGGAAGAGAAATGAGATGACTAAACATGAAAACACAGACATGAATTAACTAACTGAGAAAATGCATAAAGAGCAATATACCAAAAATATTAGTGAGAAATAAGGAAAAGGAAAACTCAAGGCAAATAACAGCACAAACTAAGAATCACTGGAAGATGTTAAAAATAAAACCAAACTGTAAAGTCTAAAAACTCAGTGACCCAGGATCTTGACACTCTGGCTGCTTGGGAACAAAAGATTTTCAAGAAATCAGGAGTGGTTTGAGAGTTTTGCACAGCACCGTGTGTGTGTGTGTGTGCTTCATGCCGGGCTTGCTCTTTCGAGAATTCAGAGTTAAAAGCTTGTTGTGTTCCTACAGCTGATGTAAGGCACTCAGCATGGGAAACATCAGTCACCTTTTGGAAATGTATTTGCGCCACATCCAGCCAATCATGAGATTGGCATAGACAAAGCCATTTCATAACACAGGTGTAAGGAAACATTTTCAGGTGAAGTCTTCCGGTGAAGCGGAAACACGCCGAGAGAATCCGTGGCATAAGATCACCGAGTGAAGACGTTTCACCCCCAGCCCCTTATTAAATTCTCTTGAGGAAGAAATAATTGGGAGTGATTTGAGAAGAGAACAGATGCAGAGTGTTATTAAAAACAGTGGGAAAGCTTCAGCATCAGCTCGCATGTTAATGCCAGAAGCCACAACTCAGGTGACGCTGCACGATGTGGACAGATTCCCTGTAGCTTTGAGGGAGAAAATGCTGCAGAAACAAGACTTGACATCGAGGACATTTTCTTCCTATGATCACATTCTATATCACGCTCGCCCATCTCTGGCAGTCAGCTCTGCTTGTGTGCATTGCCTGTGTGTGTGTGTGTGTGCTGTCAGAGCTGTTAGTATGCTGTGGTCACCCTCAGCAACATCGTTCTGACACTCCTGCTTCCACTCAGCCTCCTCCTTGTTTACTTTGCCTACGTTTGTGTGTGTGTCTTTGCATGCATGTGTGGTCCTCCTGGTTTTTTGGCATAGCAACTGCTTCGTCACTGGATGCCTCTCTCCTCCTTCTTGCGCATATCCATCTATAGTTAAATATCTCTTTCTCCATTTCTCCTCACCCGCCTCACCTCACCCACTGTGTAGAGGAGGAGAAGGTCAGGTATAATGATGCATGCCTGTGGCGTTGTACTTGGGTGGGTATTCACTTCCTTCACACCGAGAGGAAGAGCAAAGAACTTTGAGTATAAGACTGACGTTTCTCCTTCTGTTTTCCTTCTTTTCCTTCCATCAAGCCTGTCTGTGGTTTCATTAAATGAACAGGATCAGGTTTAGCGAGCAGTGCCCCAACAGGGGTAAATAGCATGCTTCTTGGGTACTATTTTTTGCAGAGTATGCATGCACATTTTCTGTAGTGTATTTCGGGTTGAGCCACATAAACTGCTGTGCTCTCATTAGCGGTAATGAATTATGGTGTCACCCTGTGCAAAGGTGCGGCCCAGTTATTTGTTTTAGACGCAAATGAAGCTCAACTACACAACAGAATAAGTCAAAAAAGGCCATTTGGATGCACGTAAAACAGCTGTTCTCAGGGTTTCTCACTGATTTGTTTTGGTCTTGTTATCAGATTTGGATAAAATGAGAAAAAAATAAGATATCGTCAGACTTATCCAACTTGTCACCATCCCTCTGTCTCTTTTACACTCCGTCTCTTGCTTTTTTCCCTCCTCCTCCTCCTCCTCCTCCTATGCCAGAGAACAGGTAGCTCTCAGCCAGCTTGCTGTTGCCATGGTAACTCACCACTCTTCCTCCTCCCTCGTCCACCCCCCACCCCAAAAAAAGAAGAATTACAAGCAGCAGCGACAAAAAGATGGAGGGAAAGGTGGAGAAGTGATGAGGATGACAGAGGACAGAAAATGCATACAGTGAGATACACAATGGAAGAATAATGAATGGAGGGTAGTGAGAGAGCTTCCTTTTTTTTTTTGGTCGCAGCTCCCACCTCCCACTTTCCTTCCTCTCCCTCACATCTCGCTCCAGCAATTTTCATGAATGACTGAAGCACTTTAGCCTGTGAAAGATGTGAATGCAACAGAGGCTGAGAGACAAGCAGCAGGCAGACGCCATCGGTCTGTGCTTATTTTTTCTCGACAGAGTTCATCGGTAAAATTTTAATGTAATCACATATTCGAGAGTCCTGGGTGATTTGGAGGGTTTTTGAATTGCAGAAAGGCGGACGTTGTTGTGTCTCTGAGCAGCCCTACCAAACACCAGACGTCCACGGATATCGAGCTAAATGTGATCAGACAGTGAAAAAGACGTTGCTGGTGTAATTTTGCATTTTCAGGCATTTGCTCACAGAATAATTTGAATTGATTTGAGGTTGAACAAAGTGAACAAGTATGTTTAGATCTTTTTATACAAGGTTTGATTGACATTTTATTTGGTAACATTTTTTATTTATATTATATTATATTATATTAT